AAGATGCATTTTGACAGACCAAGACGGACAATTGGGGGGAAATACCCTGCATTTTGAATGTCTGATAGTCCACCATTAACACCTTAGTCTCGTCAACGAAAACTAAATATACATTTCGTCAAAGTTTTCGTTATCAAGAATCTATTTTTAGCTCGTCATCGTCTCGCATTTTAAAAGGTTGTTCGCCTGCCGTCTGTCTGCAGACTTGTCAAAGCATTAATTCATGGTTTTTACTAACCGGTATCAGTATGTTGTTACTTCGGCATCATTTTGAAACGTGTATTACAATTAAATCACGGTCAAATATGTTAATTTTGTTGTAGTTGTAGCCCCCTTGCCAGCGATTCTCTCTCTAGTTAGCATACTCAGCCCGGTTGTTGGCCCGGAAAGAACCTGGATTTTGGAGTGCCAGAAAAACTGTGAAACAGTACCCGTTAGCCGGAACTACCCCTAGTGAAAACCCAAAAATGGGCCGGTTTTGCACGGCACGCTTAAACCGTGCGCCAGGCTCCTCCAACAATGCAACATATGATACATAAAACATAACATTACAAGACATCAAATAATGCAAAAAAAAAAGTGAAATAGACAAAAAGTTGCAGGAATAGGTAAGAATATAAACCTTTACAATAAGACACAAATCTGAAATTAATAATAAATACATAGGATAGATACTACTGTACTATATTCTGATATTTTAAATTAAAAAGAATAAAAGAATGAAAAGAGAAAATATATTACGGTTATGATTTATTATGAGCAGCGCTGATCTCACGGAGCCCCCTATACACTAAAACAGAGCTAAAGAGGGGGAGTGCTGGACCTTATTCCAACAGGGTGGGTGCTGATGTAGCTGTGTTTGTGTTGCAGGTGGGATGGAGCTGGCAGAGCGCCTCCTGCAGGATCAGAAGATGTGTCAGAGTAAGCAGGCCAGTGCGGGGCTGATGGACATTAAGCTGCTGTTCAGCTACCTGCAGCTGTTCCAGGTCACGGACAAGGTGACTCACCTGATATATTTCCCAGCATTCACTTTGTTCACTGGAGTCAACAATGTGTTAAAGCTCCTTATCATACCTTCTACTTTCCTCTCTTCTCTGTTAACCTGCTACCTTTTCATTCCTCCATTCTGTGCAGGTGGTGTTTGACCTGAGTCTGGCCCGGGGTCTGGACTATTACACAGGGATCATTTACGAGGGGTTTCTGACTCAGGCGGGCATCGCTGCTGAAGCCCAGAATGGTTCTGGTGCAGAGGAGAGTGTGAGCGTGGGCAGCGTAGCGGGCGGGGGCCGGTACGACGGGCTGGTGGGGATGTTTGACCCCAAGGGCAGGAAGGTGCCATGTGTGGGGGTCAGCATCGGCATCGAGAGGATCTTCTCCATCATGGAGCAGAAGGCCGAGGTAATCCTGTGAGTGAGTGAGGGTGCGTTCACACCTGCCTTGTATAGTCCGGTTGAATCGAACCCTGGTGCGTTTAGCCGCTTGGTGCGGTTCATTTGGGTCGGTGTGAACACAATCCGAGACCTCTTAAGTGAACTAAACAACCGGACTCTGGTCCGCTAAAATACGTGGTCTCCGAGCGCTTGCTTGTGAACTCTGGAGCGGTTCATTGCTGGTGTGAACGCAGTCCGCACCAAAACATAGGAAGCGTAGTATTTACGTGTCACAAGAACGCGGATGTCTTCAAAAATCTTTAGCGAAAGAATCCTTTAAGACATCCGCGGTTGTTTAGTTAAAGAGTGAAGACCAAAACCTGTCGTTGGTGAAACGCCCCTCCTTACTGCAGAACGTCTCTCATTATATGTGTTATAATGTTTTTTAACGGACGCTGTCTGATTATATAATCATATGCGCGGGCCGCTAGTGTCTGTTGATCTCCAGATTAACAGCAGCATGAGAATAACCTGCCGATGCTCCATGGCGGAGGCTCCGGTAGAAATGGCCGGGATTTGCGTTTTTACGCCCTTAATGTCTGACCAATGGTTGAACAGCATTTCCGTGCACATGACTTGTGTTTAAAGTTTATAGTCCGTTTGAGTTTTTCCCGTGTGAACGCAAACTGAACCTTCTGAAAAATGAAACAATGTAACAAACTGTGGTCTGGTGTGCAACAGAGAGCGGACTATTAGGTGTGAATGCACCCTGAGACTCTAAGTCAGTGTTTCTCAAACTTTTTCATACCAAGGACCACTTAACCAATAAAAAACACTCGCGGACCGCCTAACTTCACAAATATAAAAAAAACGCATCGTTTTTCTAGAACAGATTACAAATCGCCTGAAAATGGTACAAACAAGTGGCAGCAAGTGTGATGAAGGTGTTTATCTGGGCTATATCATGCAATCAAAAGTGAAACTTAACCTCGCTCCATTGCGGAGATATTCTTGCGAGAGTGCGGAAAACTGAAATGTATTTATTTATTTCAAATGTGAAATGTTACCAATATACTCACGGACCACTAGGGGGCGCTCACGGACCACCAGTGGTCCGGGCCACACTTTGAGAAGCACTGCTGTGTGTGTGTGTGTGAGACTGTAAATGTGTGTGTGAGTCTGTAACAGTGTGTGAGAGACTGTAACTGTGTGTGTGTGTGTGTCTGTAACAGTGTGTGTGTGTGAGAGACTGTAACAGTGTGTGTGTCTGTCAGTCAGACTGTAACAGTATGTTAATGATATGTGTTTGGCTGTCACACTATGTTGTTAATACGTGTGTTGCTGTCACACTAACTGTGTGTGTGTTTCAGGCCTCAGCACAGAGGGTCCGCACCACAGAGGTTCAAGTGATGGTGGTGTCTGCTCAGAAGAACCTGCTGGAGGAGAGACTCAAACTGCTCACTGAGCTCTGGAACGCTGGCATCAAGGTGTGTGTGTGTGTGTGTGTGTGTGTGTGTGTGTGTGTGTGTGTGTGTGATGTGTGTGTGTGTGTGTGTGTGTGTGTGTGTGTGTGTGTGTGTGTGTGTGTGTGTGTGTGTGGTGTGTGTTGTGTGTGTGTGTGTGTGTGTGTGTGTGTGTGTGTGTGTGTGTGTGTGTGGGTGTGTGTGTGTGTGTGTGTGTGTGTGTGTGTGTGTGTGTTATTTGCAGATTCCACTTAATGTTGCTTCGTAAGTCTGGAGTCTGATTTCTGAAAAGTATTACTATCACCTTTGCACTAGACTGGACTTTTTGGTGTGGAAAGTTGACATTTGTCATGCTGTCATTTAAAAATATGATTTGTATTATTCGTCACACTGAATGCTGTGTATGTGTCCAGGCAGAGGTAATCTACAAGAAGAACCCCAAACTGCTGAGTCAGCTGCAGTACTGCGAGGACTCTGGGATCCCCCTGGTGGCCATCCTGGGAGAGCAGGAGCTGAAGGATGGGATGGTGAAGCTGCGCACCGTGGCAACCAGAGAGGAGGTACCTGAACACATATTTATTAAAGAGGATACCAAATTATGTTTTTTTATGTTTTTATTACCATTCAACCATTCACACACAATCATGCAGAGGCAGCCGTACAGGCTCAGTGTTGGCCATTGGGAGCAGTTTGGGGTTGAGGGCCAATATATTTGGATGTGTCTGTCTGTTTGTGTGTCAGGGCCGTAAGACTGAGATGCTGCAGGACTAACCTCACTGTCTGCTCTCTCCCCACAGGCTGATATATCCAGAGCAGATCTGATAACTGAGATCAAGAGGAGGACCTCTGAGGCCTAGACGTTAACCCCTGCCCCCCCCACGCCACCTTCAAACAGACTCCTTTGCAATGATGTCGACATGCCTTCAGTGTCAGCACTGTATAACAGGGAGCTGCTGTGAGGAACGCATCAGTTATTATTATCTACAAAGCTGCTACATTCATTTGTATAGCTCCATCTCTGCTCTGTTTAAGACGTGTACTTTCTCCCTGCACCATCTCAGCTTCTAACACTTTCATTTGTTCCATGGCTTGTACTGTCAGGTTGTCTGAAATAAACTCAATGCTCAGCAGCTTGTGTTCACTGACATTCTCAGTTTAAAACAATATGATGTTTCTCACTTACTGTACTTAGGTGGCATGTAGCCTGTTTTGGTTTATTACCTTTATCAGACTGGGTTTACCAGCATCTACGAGGGTGCTGACAACGGGAAATCATGTTGGATGTTTTTTAATAATGAAGAGCACATTTCTTCAGATCAACATTTACTACACACAATGTAACTAACATGTGATAGAAATCAGCAAGTTCTTCAATAGGATTTAAAATGCTATCTTATTCCACTAGAGACCTGAAAGATAGAAATCCTTTTAGAAAAAGGAACACACAATGAGTTTCTTTCCTGCTAGTAAACTGAATATCATTGGAGTTTGACATGAAAATATCACCTTGAACTGATAAAGAACAGGCATCTATCATTTTCTTGACTAATATTGATACCATTTCATTTGGTGCAGTCTATTTGACTCCTATAATAAAGCCTACTATTGTAATAAATAGCGTCAGCTTGTTGTCAAAAATAGTCAAAGCAGCCTTCTCAAGATTAAAACACTACAGCCACATTTAGGAAAATCATGCATTACATAAATAGTTCTCTTAGCCAATAAATCAAAACCTCCTCTTTACATCTTGTTCCTATGTGGATGACTATTTGTAAATTATTTTGGAACTATCAGTGAAACAAGTCTTTCAGACACATCCTAACAGCTTGATCAGGATCATTTTCAGATTCTTTAGCTATAACGGCAGATGTTGTGAATCTGGTGCAATAATCCTGTATCAAAACAATGCTATTTATATTATATATACACTTGGGGTGGCTACAAACCGAGAGGCTAATCCTGACGCAGAGTGGAGAAGAGGACACCATCTTCCTCCATTCACCTGCAGGGAAGCACTGACAGTCATCTTCTTTGACCTCTCCAGTGCTTTGAACAGATATTTTTCTGTGGGTGCAACAAGCTTCACATCAGGGTGACTGGAGCGCTGCAGATCTGAGAGGAAGAGGCTGGGCTTCATCCAGGGAGGACGTGGAGACATGGGGGGGTGTTTCTCAATGTCGAGGACGCTTCCTTGGTAGGACATGTCTTCCGAGTCAATTTTCCGCCACAGATTTTGGGAAATTGGGCCATGCACCAAGCATTGTGGGGATTTTAAGACCGGAGGATACACATGTGCAGCCTCGAAATTTCCCGCAACGAAGGACTCAGTCCTCGGTAGAATTCCAAGGAACCTGGACATTGGAACAGTCCTTCGGCGGGACTCGATGACGTAGCATCCTTGAAATGGTGGCTCTGGAGGAGCCTTCCTCGACATTGAGAAACACCCATGGACTCAGTGAAGGCTCAGGGACATTTTGCAAAGTGAGAACACACTTCGGATCAAGATAACTTGATCTAGGATTAACACATCTGGGTCAGAATGGCCAGGATTATGATAGCCTGGGTTAAATAAAACCTGTTTGCAGAAAAGCATCTTCCTGTTGATAATCCCCACTCTGTGCAAGTGGTCATAATCAGTCGCAGTAAAGAGTTAACATAAATCATTCACTCCATACTTTACATGAAGAAACACCATCACATTTTCTTTTCAATCTCATTTATTAAAAATGAGGAACCAATAAAGAGTAACACGTAAAAAGCATGCACAAATAAAACACTGAAGTGGAACGACAAACAAGTGAAGTATAATAAAAGCATGCAGATAAAATAAGATAAAAATATAGAACACCTATCTGTAAATAACATTAACAAAGTAAACAGTGCTGCAGGAGGGGGTGGTGATCAGCTGGGGGGGCTATTAGTTGCAGATCTTATGCAGAACCTGCAGAGCCACAGCCTTACGAGCTTCGTCCACCGTGGCGTAGGCAGAGGATCTCGGTAAAATCACGACCTGCCCTTCGAAGTCGGGGGTTATCCCGGGGACGGACACCTCATAAATGAAACATATGAAGCCCCTGGCCCCCACGTGGCCCATCTTAATCTTGTACTGTGGCTTCCCAACACCCTTGGTCTCACACAGCTCACACAGCAGCACCATGGGGCACGGGCGGTAACCCTCCAGGGAGGAGGAGCTGGGAGGGGGCGGGGTCTGGGGGGGTTCTCCCACTGCTTTGCATAATTCCCTGGCATCCCTGGATGGAAGGCGGGCCAGGCGGGGAGGGGGGCTCGGAGGGGTGAGGACGTGGCGTGGCAGCTTCAGGGGGGTCGGAAAGAGGCTTTTAGATAATTGATGTGGAGGGGGGGGGCTCGTCAGTGGTCGACTTCATTGTAGACTGCCATTTGAGGGAGATTTTCAACTGAAAAAGCTTCTTGAACGCTGGGCACAAAGAGAAGAGCAGCAGTAAGGCGTTTTGACATCAGATAAAACATTATCTTGGGTATGTACTTGTGAATTCTCCTGAATAAGTACGTTTTAATGTTCTTAACCGGAGATAGATACATCATTACCCCACCTTCACAAGATAATACCTCAGGCTTTTTTTAAAAGATAAAACAAGAGTTTGGTTATTCTACGTCGTGCCACCTGTTGTATTTAAAGCGGTCACAAGCAGCCAGACTCAAACCAGAATGAACATCTAGTCCTCACAGAGATGGAGTGGGGAGAAAAGATCTTGTGACAGAAGTGAAACAGTCTCAATAGAAGTGTTGACAGCTGACCGTTAGTGGGTGTGAAGGTCAGATTGTCAGTATTGGAAATGTAAAACACAAAGTTCCTGTTAAGTCTTTTGAATCAAATCAAGTCAAAATAAAGTTTATCATAATACTAATAATTAAAGCTGCATTCAGCATTGCATTGCCCCCCCCCATTCTAACACCTTTGGGATATTGTCTACAGGCCTTGGTGAGTGCAGTGATGCTTTCACAACAGTTTGCAACAAATGGTTGCAATTTAAGTCAGAATAATATATCTGTTGTTGTTGTTGTTATATTCCAAAAAGCCAATTTACGGATAATAAAAAAGCAAATTATACAAATGTCAGCAATGACATGAATATGGGAGAAACCCCCTCAAGCCCAACCACTGCAGAATTGTTATTGATGTGCCCTACCTGACATATGTACCATTTCATTAGAGACATGCATTACAATGTATGAAAGGTTGACAACAAAAATGGGATCATATTTCCAGCGATGTGGTCCATCGCCTGAGCTCCTACCTTCCACCAGCACCCTCTTGGCCATAGAAGCATCATAGTGGGATGAGAAGACGACTATAGCAGACACCCCCACTATTCCAGGCCCTGCCTTCAGCGAGATCCTCTCCACCCCGTCCGCCATGCCACGCAGCACCTGGGAACACACACACACACGTTGCCTTGACTACCGGACACTACAGGCTCTGGGAAAACTTCATGGGACTTTTTTTACTTTTGTAAAACTCACTAAAGAGCTCCTCATTTTAATATGGCATGGTACTTTTTGTCTTAGAATATGGATTTGAAAAAGGGTAACAGTCCCACAGGCAAGACAGTACATGCGAGACCTGAAGAGTGCAGTCAGGTGTTCAGCTCTCCATGGGCCTGAGGTTAGCTCACACTAGCTACAGCCAACCTGTTACATACCAGTGGTGTTGTAGCACACACTCAGTCTGGCTGATTGACGGGTGGTGCTCACTCCAAAACTCACTTCCTATTCTATGCCACTCAATGTGCTGTTGAGGCATGTCAAATAGTAGGCCTTGGGAGCGAGTAGATAAATGATTATTCTCTTTTTACATCTGTGATTCAGTTCTACAGTATTGCAATGCTAAATGGTACAAGTGTTGGTCTACCAACTCAAAATCAAAACGGCTCCACCAGCTGAAAATCTGCTCAAAGATTGTAGGTCAACCTTCTGAGAAACTCCATGAACCAGCCCACGATAACATGATGATGCTGGCCAACGAGATCATCTCCGACCCAAACCATGTCCTGAACAGAGAATATGATAATAATATGAATGCTATTTATATAATATGAATGTCAAATCAAAAATACAGGGTCCAGAGATTCAATAAAGCTAGACTTCAGCATTACTTTGTGCACCAGTCAATCCTCCAATCAAACACAGAGCTAAATCCAAGGTTAAATGTACTCTAAAGGGTCTTGAGCATGTTTTTCCTCAGTGATCATGCTGATTTGGTTCATTTGTGTTCCCTTGTATCTTGTCTTAAATATTTGTCCTTGTTGATGTTGCGAATGGAGCTGCGAGACACATTTCAGACTCCTTTTACCTGACAATAAAGTATAATGGTATCGTAGATCAAAAGTATTTCTGAAAAGGAAGCATTTCCCTCTGTCAGCAGTGTTCTTCCCGTTCCCTCGGAGCGTTACCTGCAGCAGATGGTTCAGCTGGGTGCTGGCGGGCAGCTCTCCGATGCAGAGGCGACTCTTCTCTGTGCTGAGGCGCACACTGAGGTGGGGGCCGGCCTCCAGCCTGTGACCGTTCAGCAGGCGCACGGCACCGTTCGCTACAACTGGTGAGCTGTATTTGGCGTAGGCGAAGCCGCGGTTCTGCCCGCTGAAGTTCATCATGAGGCGGAACTCCCAGAGGGGGCCCACAGAGCCAAACAGGGGGATCAACACATCCTCGTAGGTGTCCCGCGGGATCTGGCTGATGAAAACCTCACATCCGGATCCTGGGGGGGGCAGGTGCCACACTGACCGCACAGAGGAGAGACGATGGGAGTAAGTGCATGGCTTGATTATATATCAATGATTGCTAATATCTATATTTAAGAATGGAAATACCATCCCAGTAAATAGGAACCAAAACTCGGTTCCAGATGAGAACCGATAAGAAAATGATGGGTAACGGGCACCCATACAAAATACACAATTTCTGTTCTGCTTAACGGTTCCTAAACGCGGTAGACCCTATAGTCCACCTGCGCCGCGGCGACCCGGTGGACTATAGGGTAACCAGGGGCGGACTGGCCATATGTGTGTTCTGGAGAATCACAGAACGTCCGGCTCGGTTCGCTGACGGCCGGCACCGCCCTTCATTTTTTTAAACGGCATCATGTGAGTTGCGCTGACAGGCGACAGAGGTCCACAGATGCCGCACAGCGAGGCTCTCCCCGCCCTCCCGTAGAAAGTTCACGAGCTCAGTCACTTCATAACACCAAAGATGGGTTGCGGTAAACGCTCTGAAGTGATGCTCCACTACACTAAGAAAGAAAAAGACAAGGCACAGTGTAATGCCTGTTAATAGCTGGCCACAGGCATAGCTCAGTTCAAATAAAGCACAGCTATACGTGCAATACATTTGTATTGCACGTATATATTTTGTATTTGTAAAAATGTCAGTTAAAGCTTAAAAGAATAAAGATATTTTTGTTATCTAAACATTTGACCTCTTTCTTTTATAATTTTGGAATCGAAACGGGGAATCGATAAGAACCGGAATCGATAAGCAGAACCGGAATCGATACATTTCAGAAGATACCCATCCCTACCCAGTATCAAGAAATGTTTTCATACATTTTTACAAGAGGGTTACAATTTGAATAATTCTAAACATCTATACTGAAAATCTAAAATAGCACAAATTGAAAACCCCTGTAAACTAAAGGTTATCAGAGCATCACTATGTTCATGTTCATCACTGAGTTTTGAATCACAATCAAAGTGCAAATAAATCTAGTTAAAACTGAGAATGCAACAGCCTGTAACGTGTTAAAGAAAGAAAATATGGCACACGTGTTAGGGTCACTTTTGTTCCATAACAACTGCAAGCATTAAGCTTTATTGTCTTAATGTACATTTACTTAGTTTTTTCAACAAATGTTTACAATTTACTTTCATAAATACAAATAACAGAAATAAAATAGCAAAAATAATATGAAGACTGGATAGGTCTGCACAATATACCGATTCATTAAAAAACGGCCCCAATGTTAAACTACAAATATTCTGGGAGACGCAGTAGCCCACAGCAGCGGCCTCACAACGACTTCATCTCAACTCAAAGGATTAGAGAAGATATCTTTCTTTGGCAGCAAGAGCCAGCGTTTACCCTCTGTCACCTGTCAGTGTGCAACTTGACGTTACATAAAGGACAACAGCATTATACATTCATGCATGACGGTCCTGTGACTCTCCAGCCGCCCCTGAACCCACACTGCTTTACAGATGAATGGAAGTTAACATTTTATCCCTTGTTTTCAGATTTGTATTTACTTATTTCAATAGTCCAGGTAGAATGGATGTGTCTGTTTAGAGTACCAGACATTGTTGTAAAGTGGGGCATTCATAGGTTTTGCTCAAGTGATCAATACATAATAAACTTCATGTTGTTGAATGGAAATATCATATTTAATTGATTTAGTTTCAGTTATTACCCATAAGCAACTTATTTTAATGTAAGAATTTGTTTAATTATCACATGTGATGCATCACAATATTCAACAACGTTATGGCCTGTTCTCCTGCAGTCCTAATACTGAATGAAACTGATCTTCGTTGCGAGGTGTGTGTGAGCTGCAGGTCTCACCCGCAGGCGGTCCTCCATACTTCCTCTGGCCGTTCACCTGAGCCAGCTTTGTGTCCGTTTCCATCAACCAGGCTTCTAGAGCCTGCAGCCGCTCACTGTTCAGCACCTGGGGGGGGCGACAACAACAACTCAGCAGCTCCTCTTCAAACAACTGATTCCAATCAGTTGTTCTTAGTTGTTCCTAGTTGCATAATCATTCTGCACACTAATAGTTGCCCAATAATTGTTCACACATTGATTTTCTCCTAAGAAAGGAAAAAACCTCACTTTTACTAATTAAAATAATCCTCAAAAATACAAATTCCCTAATAATTGTGCACACAGTGTATTTAGATGCCAATACTTTTGTTCTTTTAAGATTTCGAAAGCATGACTTTTACTTGTAACAGAGTATCTTCACAGCTAAGTGTTGCTACTTTTGTTTAAGTATAATATCTGAGTAGGCCTACTTCTACCACCACTGCATCTAGGGGCCCTTCAAAATTCAAATATTAGATTGATTTAGATTCTTCCGGATTGAAATATAAACAGAAACTGATACTTGTTCAATATGATATTGTGATACAGCTTTAAGTATTTTTCTGGTCTCTGGGGCAGCAACGTTATTCAATGTTACCCAAATGATAACACTGTCATGTATTACTACAGGGTTTGAGCTGACGGAATTTAGGCTAACAAGAAAGATGGTCAACGTTAAAGAAAAAAGTTTCAAACGCAGGAAGGACAGAAGTTTTTTTTGGAAAAGAGTTACGACAGGAAAATATTCGTCATTTCAAGTCATAACTTTAAAACTCATCTTTTATTAAAGCTTTTAACTAATGATGACACCACTCTGTCTGTTTCTGTATTACTGCTGCTATTGTTCAAACGCTGTATGTTATTGCGTGCGTTGGGGAATTTAGACCGCTGGTTCTGTAATTCATGTAAAGAACTTAGTGACTAGTTTTTGAAAAGTTCTGTATAAATAAAGTAATTATTATTACTACAATTATTATAACCAAACAAAAACAAAGAAACAATCCTTTTTTTAAATGAATGTAGACTAAGCGAACCGAGCACGCCGCCTTCACGGGCAGCTAAGGGCTAACATGTTTTTTTTTGTAAATTAATGTAGACTAATGGTAATGGTCCTCAACCAAGAGGCAGTGCACGGTGAACAACGTACAAACTAAAGCCAAACTAAATGTTTTCACAAGAAACCTTTACAAACAAGTTACGCCGCAAAGCACGAGAAGAGAAAATATTTTACACATTGTAGCAAAATGTGCGCACGTGTTTAGAAAAAAGATCGCTAGCCGACAACAAAATTAATTAACCAGTGTTGGAATCGGAGCTCGCGCCGTCACTGCAGCTAGCACTCAAATGTATTGTAAACATTTCCTCTCAACACGAGAGTACTTTTGGACTTAAAACACAATATATAAACGGACAAAAACAAAGTGAAGGAAACTATTACCTGCATGTGTATGACCTCCATACTCAGAGTTCAAGCGGATTGTGACGTCTTTGCCCGTGAACGCACGTTCAACCCAGAGCCATATAATAGAAGAGTTACGACAACGGAAGTCCAAAAACGGTTATCGTCACGTGGTTCATGTAGAAGAGGATCGTTCCCCGGAAGTTCATGGCGGGCAATGTGAATGCATTGATAACAGGAGATAGAACTACGATTTTTGGTAATTATTAGTGAATAAAGGTTTTGATTTGCAATATTTATACAACAAATCGATATGTGTATGTATTTACATCAATATGTTTTAAAAAATAAAATAGAATTAGCTAATATTAAGTGATAATATTAGGATTAGTGTGAACAACTAGTTTACATGTTAGGCTAACAGTGCCTTGGTTAAAGAGCCTGTTGCTGTTTATTTATAGCTTTGAATTCTTTAAAACCAATATTATCTTCTTAAACTTGTATGGTAGTCAGGAGCATCACTTTCTAATGTTGATTGATATATTTAGAGGGAGGGGATCTAAAGTAATGCTTTAAAATTCAGATTAGATTAATGTCTACCATTTTCTTAAATTCATGGTAGTTTCAGTAATCCCATGGTAATTGAGGACACAAGTTATCTAAATGACTAATGTCATCTTTATGGCTTTCAGAAAGGACAGGTGACTATCAAAGGACTAGCAGCAGCAGAATGATGATGATGATGTTAAATGTGTTGTTTTAGGAACATCCATTGCAAATACATGGAATTCAATAAACATTGAATAGCATATCATACAGTTTGTCTGTGCCTTTTCCTCCTTGTTGTCCTGGTTTGCTGTGCTGCCTCCTAGTCGCCACCATGGTTTGCTGTGCTGCCTCCTAGTCGCCACCATGGTTTGCTGTGCTGCCTGGAGATGCTCCAATCGCTCAGAGAAAGGAGTACGAATGTACAGCTTCCCCACTGACACAGAGCGGAGGAAGTAGGAGCAATTTCACGACCAACAGCAACAAAATATGTGATTTATATACAAACACTGCATTTGCACTTTTTCACAAAACGAAAACCACACCATTGGGAAAGCTTAATGTTTTGTTTAATACAAAAAACAGGGAAAGGCTTGAAAAACACAGAGTTGAGACTCAGGGTGCAGGGTGAGGGTCTCAGTGCAGGTATTCAGGCTCCATTGAATCCCCCTCTGGTTCTTGTGCTGAAAGAGGGATAAACAGACAGGAGAAAGGGTTATACACACCTATATAGCACACCTATTGGATGGGAAATTGCCTTGGGGAGATAAGGTGTGGTCTTTGTTCCCAACTGAAGTTATGGAACTTTATTATTTGTGAGTTTAACAAAGTATGACAAATGGCATCAGTAACATATGTGATATGAATTTCTATAAAGTTGTCTCACATTCTTGGTCATATTGTATATACAGTATGTAATGAGTATAACATGTCCAGTAAGTATAAAGTGTTTCCTAATACTGTGTATTCAACCACTATGGAATATGTATGTGGGCAGACAAAACTGAGTTGTTCTGTGTGTGAAGTAACTTCAAGTCACTCCGCAGGCACATTTTGATGCAGACCAGTTTGTCAAGACAAAAAAGGGCAAGACTAGGCTGAGAGCAGAGGCTATACCCACCATCTTCGTGCATCACCCTGTGGTCAAAAAGAGAAGGGCCCCTGCACCACGATTCACCCCGGGACCTGTATCTACAAAGCCCATAGCTCATGATCACAGCGATAGTGTGAAAGGTGACACAGGTATAATAAGTATGAACTCTTAGTAACAAAAGTAATATTTCTTATTTTTAAGTGGTATAATATGTTAAATGTTCGAACATTTACAGTGCCATGTCTTCTACTTACATTAGTCTCAAAGATTGAGGGAAGAAGGGAAGGGATCACTGCCCTCCACCTGCCAGAGGAGCGCAAACAACAAAAACAAGCAAGGTGTCCCGTCATGTACCTGGAAGTTTGGGTTGGCAAAATGGAGTAAAAGAGGGACTTGAAAAACCTTGGTGGCTGTCTACTCATGTTGTTACAGTTGTCTTGGTTACAGCTCTCAAGTTTTTTTTTTGTCCCATTTCCACATCTTTAGATAATATGAAAAAATTGAAGTGAAATCAACCTCATCTCTGGAGAACAAACTTCGATTTCTCTGTCTTGTGAGTTTGCAGTCTTGCAGTTTTGCTCCTCCACCTGTAACATCACTGCCCCTCCACCTGCCATACAGTAGGTTACTAACAAGATTACTTATATAATACAGTGATATAATACATGTTTAGTATGCTTACTTATATAAAACAGTAGTATTAAACTTACCTTGTGTGTTCACTCTCACTTAAGTTCCTCTCCCTTTGCCATCAATCCCAAATCAGCTGAGCTGCAACATTATACACACAGGTAATAATCAACATAATCACAAGGACACAATATGGCTCTGCTAAAAACACTCACTCTTACACGCACCAAAGTTATATTTATCTAATATTTAACTCCCTCCACCCCCGCATACAATCCCGTTTAGAAGCCCCTCTTCTCTAATTCAACAACGTTGGACCAAATAGACATTAAGAGAACGGAATTTACAATTAAAAGGCTGTTCAACGTGTGTTGCTAACTTGCTTCGGTATCCTAGCTTGATCTGTTATCTGTAAACGTTCCCTAAATCTACTAATTTAGGGATAATCCACTGACATCCTTTAATACACATGTTCAATTGAATCAGATGTACTGATAATATCCGCAATATAAATCTTTAAACTTCTTCTTACCTTTAAAAGTCCGTCACGAACGGTCTATTATGCTGCAACTCTACAGCTCTGCTAGCCTTGGCGCTAACTTCCGGGGAACGATTGAGAGGCTCCACGATCCGCCATTGCTGTAAAAAAGTGGTCCATTGGAGTGAACGGAGGTGTCATAACTCTTCTATTATATGGCTCTGGTTCAACCCATAGACTGTATGGTTCAACCACACCCTATTGGCCCTCACCGCGCCGCCTTCATGGTCAGCTCGGGCCTTAATAAACTGACAAAAGTTTAACAACAGTTCCTGGGGGATCTAACAGTAATAGCGCATTTCCACCGTTTAAGCGTCCTTAACCGTCCTCAAGCGGCCAGGCCAGTTTTTGGTGGCCTTTCCATATAGCCTAGTACCGGCTAGCGGGTACTTTTCCCCTCTTTTTCCGGCCCCATAAAATCGTGGTTCTATCAACCAGGGCCAGGGCTGAACTAGTGACGTCAACACTCTCGACTGCTGATTGGCCAGAGAGAATCGTCACAAGATCGCGCGCGAGTTCATCCCTAGCGTCGCATATATATTTATAAGCAAGCTTGCAGCATTTTTATAAACAGTATTTTGTAAACGGATGAGCTACAAAAATGGCTACGTCTAATAAGAAAAGCACACCGTGGTCGACCGAGGAGGTGACGACGTTCCTACATCTCATTGGGGATGATCAAATCCAGCGGGAGCTCGACGGAACAATTCGAAATGTGAACAAAAACAAAGCCGATCGCCCCGCCTACACTGCGTTGCTACCCCAGGTCCTAAACTGTAATGGAAATGCGCCACGGCCTCGGACGGCCAGCGAGGCAGCCCGAGGACGCTTAGGGACGCTTAAACGGGGCTACCCCGTTGCAGTGGAAATGCGCCAGACTAGTTTAAAACTAAACGGAATTGTAACTAGATAGCTGGAAGAAGTAGGCCTACTCATATCATTGAGTTAAGTATAGGCCTACTTATACCACATTGTAACAATTTGTTACAAGTAAAGCACAGCTAGCATATTACTTAAAGGGATAGTGGAAATGGAACCTCAAATAGTTTCGTTTTAACTTATATACAAGCATAGTTACGTACCAAAACAATCACACCTGATTAAAAAATATAATAATTGCCTTACGCATGTTAGAAGCACTTTATTGCAGCTTCCCCGAAGTTTTTTAGAAACGAAATGTTCGACTCAGCCAAACCGGAAGTGACGAAAACTTAGGAAGACGATACGATAACAAACCATGGCGTCTATGCAGAATGAACGTGGAAGGGCAAATATACCAGACAAAGAAGAAGGATTGTACGAGGTATCCAGTGATGATAGCGAGTCAGAAACATCCTCTCGGCTTTCCTACGAAAATGTCGTTTTAGGAACTGAATCTGAATCCGGTTCAGTAAGCGACGATGGTGACAATATTGAGCCAGACGATGGACCATTACGTCCTTATTTGTTCGAGCCCAAGCCCGAGGTGATGGTTCACGGCATGGGCAATGGCGAGGATGACCAGGACCAGGCGCCAGATGATGCACCCCTACGCACAAATAATCTTGACTGGTAGGTCCCTAAGCATAGCTCATGCATTTTAAGATCACCTGTAGCCTTTACAAATATTAATCATTGTTAACCAGTTAATCCCGAAGGTCCCCCCAGTGGACCCCTCCCACAGTTTTTTTTCTCTCACATGTCTCAGGGCTTCTTAACATTTATGAAACTATTAATGTTTCATACCCTTTTAAAGGTAAGAAACTCTGCTAACTGACAATAAGAACAATTGTTAGCTAGAAAAACCAAGCCTTTGAATTAGCAATGCTAACTAATGCTAACGCTTTTTTACACACAACACACGGTAGAAATGCCCTTATTACTATCTTAACTGCACAAACAAGATATACGATTTAAAGCTGAGACTCCACAGATTCCACACATGTAATGTCATCATTGTAAGACCTCGAATTCCTGGAGCTATCAGCCAGAAAAGAGAAAGTAAACAACATCCGGTTCCAAAAATATTACAATAATTACGACTTACCTTTTTTGATTTGTGATCAAAAGTTGTGTTCAACGGAATAAAAACGCATCTCAAGGTTAATCCAATGTCGTTGTGTCACGTAGAATTTTTTACTGATAATCAATCATCATATTTATGGCAATATACTCGGCTATTCACATGCAAATGCTATTGAATGTCCGCCATTGTTTGTGCCCGTCTTCCTATGCTCTCGTCATCACCCGAAGATTCCCGACGATTCCCGAAGTATTTCGTTTCATTGAGAGGGCGCAGTAAAATTGAAAATAAAATGAAACTAGGCGCATGAAATAAAAAAAAATTGTTTAT